GTGGAAAGAACGCGGGCTGAGAGCCAGGAGATCTGGACACTGTCTGGAGGAATAGGGTGGCTCACTCTTTCTTCATGAACCTCTTTGTCTCCAGTCTTAACCTGAAAGGCCCTGTCTAAAATGAAGGCATAATCACGAACCATTAAAATCTCTGCTCTTGGCCACCTTCCGTTATTTGCCAGTGAAAGTCAATTTAGAGTACACTGTTGTTAAGTCAAGTTTTGCTTGTGGCAGGAAGGGGGGGGATCTGATTAAATCTTTAAGTGCCATGATAAATGCAGAACAGTTTCTGGTTTGAGGACGGGGATGGAGCCTGGGGACCAGGGGAGCTGAGCATTTCCAGTGTGGGTTCCCCCAACACTCACCTGGCAGGATTTTCACATGGTCAGGTTTTGAGGAAGGAAAAAGAGGGACAAGGAGTAGTATCTTTTCCCCTTTTTCCTTCTGCTTCAAACATACATAAATGGAATAAAAAGAGAAAGAAAATAAAAAGCCAAAAAGAAAACAGATGTCTTTCTATAATAGTTTCCATCCAGTTAGTATTGTTTTGACCATAAGGTCCCATAGAAGAGAAATGGAATAAAACTGTCTACATTTCACCCCAGACCATTTCCTGTATATATTAACCTAGACCTGTATAAGAAACAAATCACCTGGAAGGTGATGAGGAAGTCCCTGTGGTGTAGTTCAGCAATAAGAAGTCAGAGAAAGGAATCTGGCTGATTTGTTCATTAAAATGGTGCCATATGCATCTGCTAAAAAGCGTTTCCAGCTCCAGAGACTTGTTCCCCTTCCCTGGGGCCTTCTCAGACCCTGGCCCAGACTCACACCCCTTTCTCTACTGGTCAGCATACAGTGGCATCATGCTGCAAGCGGCCATTAAACATGTAGAGAACAGAGATGTATCTTCATATGCTAAGGGTTCCCATTTCTCCCACAAATGAAGAAAACTGAATTACCCACAGGACTTCCCTCATTTAAAAAAATATTTTAAAATCCTATTTCATCACTCCCTCCATGAGAAGTCCTTGCCTCTCATAGCTTTTTCCTTCTACTGGAATTCCCCAAATTGATTCAGGGTTCAAGTCCTGGGTATCATTTATTTGGATGACTATTCTCTTTTTATTCATATTTATTTAATTTTATTGATTTCAGAGAGAGGAAGGGAGAGGGAGAGAGAGAAACATCCATGATGAGAGGGAGACTCATTGATTGTCTGCCTCCTGCACGCCCCGTACTCGGGGTCAAGCCAGAAATTCAGGCATGTGCTCTGACTAGGAACTGAACTGTGATCTGGTTCATTGGTTGATGTTCAACCATTTAGCCACACCGGCTGGGCCTCATTCACGTTTTTACTTACAGTATCAATCTTTAATTACTATTATGATATTTAAAATCAAATTATTTTTCTGTTTATAAAAGTGATATAAAGTTACACAAAAATATTTAATTTATACTTTTTATGATTATAAAAACATTCTAAGTAAGTAAAATGAAATTTTGTTTTTCCATTAATGCATGGTTCAAAAACTGTTGGATGAATTTTCACCAAATGTAGAAGGGATGTTTGGGATGGCCTGGTTTAGAAAAGAGGCTCCATGGCATGCATGGGATTCAGACGGGGCACGCTGGGCCGTCATCCTCCTGGGCAGCTGGACGTGAGGTCCAGTGAGAGGCCTGTGTGCTGCTAATGGGAGTAGATTTGCCAAACACATTAGGAAGCTGAGGATAGCTTCAGACATGAACCCCACACCCAAAGTCTTGAGAATCAGTGTTCTGAACTGCAGGCTCAACCTTTCATGGATGCTACATCTCATCAGTGGTAACAGGGACTGCTGTCTTTGATGATGACTTCGAGTTTTCCTGAGCTGAGTTGCTGGGGCAGCCAGTAAATAACAGTAACAATAGTTACATCAACAATAGCAACAACAATATAGTAAAGCATTTGGGAATGTTTGCTCTCTGTAAGGGTGGTAATAGGTATGTGACATGCACTGCATCATTTAATCCCCACAACAATCTCTGAACCAAGTGATACTGCTATCTCTTTTTCAGGGATGAGGACATGGAAATCTCCAGAAGTTAAACAACTTGTTCCAGGTCATAAAGTTGGTAAGTGGCAGAGCCAGCATTCAAATCCAAAGTCCCTGATCCCAACCACCGGGCTTATTTCTAGCAACAGACTCGCATGGTGTGGTCACATGTTGTGGTAAAACACTGCTTCCTTAGAACTGACACCAGGTCACCAAAACACTGCACCCATGGCTCAAGCCAGTTAGCCTTGGTCACCAGGCTCTTCAGTTATCTGATACACCACATCCCCAGCCTCTTATTTTCTGACACCCGCGTCCAGCCCATGGGACTAAGGCCACATTACTCCCTGGCCTCCTTGTCTGGTGTTCTCACTTCCACCTCTCCACCTGCTGCCACGCTGCTTCCGAGCAAAGCGGCGCTCCATCTCTGCTGCCAAGTCCTCTCCCTCCTTGCTCAGGGGCAGGCAGCACCCGGTGCTCCCTCCTGCCCAGGCTTTGCCCAGTGGGAATGATACTGTTTAATTAGCTAGTTATTAATAATAGGAAATGAGCAAAGGGGGGAGCCAGACATTATAGGCATGTCATTTGGGCAGCTTCACCAGGAGGCTACAATTTCACACTCCCCAGAGAACCACCGGCCCATTCCCCATAGATTACTGGGGGAAGGGACCAGACAAAGGGGAAAATGGGTGCATATACAGGAAAGTTGGGGTGACATAGGGAAGGTACCTGGCAGTCAAACTTGGGAACAGAGATCACTGGCCAGAGTGGGCAGGGCCACTGCAAACCTGCAAAAATGTGGGAATGCATAATCCCCTAGACAAAGGAGCTAGTCCTCTTGTGTGACTCCTGGAGCTCTCCCCTGGCTCTCTGGTTCCTTTGGCTTTGCTCCTGCCCGTGTTCCCTCCATAGCTGCATGGCCCAGGGTCCTGGGGACCCACACACGATGGACTGATAGACTGCAACTGTGAACACCAGTTAAGCTAGCCTGCTGCTGTACTGGACTGTGCGGAGATGGAATGGAAACTCGGGCCCTTGCTTTGATCTTAGCCCCGCTGAAGGCAAAATGGGACTTGTTCCTTAGTGGGACAAAGAGAAATGGGACCTTGGAAATGCAGGTGTGTAATTCCAGAGATATAAAGCTCTTTTACAATATCTCATCCTCCCCTGTGAGTCTCAGAAAATTCTTTTCTTGGGATATCTCAAGAAGCCCACTCCTATAGCAACCCATGGAGACACGGAGATCTCCCCACAGGGAACAGAAACACAGGAGTTTCTTACCTCTAAAAATCCTCTCCCGCCCTCTATGTACCAGTCTCTGAAGCTGATGCTTCACTTAAGGCTGCTCCGGCCATGTATGGTTAGGGAAAGTGCTTACCATTATTATTAGTCCCTTGTACACAGCTTCAGACCTTGGGGCTGCAAAGTTGGGTGCAGATTTAACAAACATTTCTTGTTCATGGCCAATGTTATTCTACTATGTTCCAGGGTTGCTTTAGGTACTGGAGATACAATAGTTAACAAAAGCTTACAGCATTCCCTCCCTCATGGAATATCCCTTTTCCCTTTCTGGGTTAGGGTGCATACTCCCATAGAATAGTTCTGGAGAAGTACTGCCTGGAGTCATCTCCCAGTCTTTCTACTTATAGTCTGTGTGACTTTGATTAAGTCAGTTAACCTCTCTGTGTCTCAGTTTCCTATAAATTGGAAACATTCATAGCATTCCTCTCAATGATGTTGTTAGAATTAAATAAGTTAAAATAGTTAATAATCTACAGTAATGTATTTAGGACAGTAGCTGTAATATTGTGACTTATAATAAATATATATTTGGTCTTCCTCCTAAAACCCTTGGAATTTCTTAAGTGATGAGAGCTATAGAGGTGTCTTTTGTTATGTTAATGAGGAAACTTTTGAAACCGCCTAAGAATTGGAGGCGGGTTCCCAGGGGAAACAACTGTGAGATTACAAGGTTGTAACTTTTAGTCCCAACCCTGACCTCTGAGAAGAAGAGAGAGGCTGGGGATTGATTTCAATAACCGATGACCAATGATTTAGTTAATCATTCCTGTACTGAAGCCTCCATAAAAGCCCAAAAGGATGGGGCTCTGAGAGCTTCCAGGTTGGTGGACATGTGGAGATCTAGGACGATCTGCATACTTTCCCATACCTTGTCCTATGTATCTAGTCTATCTGGCTATTCCTAAGATATGTTCTTTTATAATAAACTGGTGATCTAGTAAGTGAAAGTTTTCTCTGAGTTCTGTGAGCCACTCTAGCAAATTAAACCCATGAAGGGGGTTGTTGGGACCTTCAATTCATAGCCAGTTGGTCAGAAGCACAGGTGACAACCCTTAAATTGCCATTGATATCTGAAGTGTGTGTGTGTGGGGGAGGGGCAATCTTTAGGACGGAGCCCTTGACTTGTGGGATCTGATATTATATCCAGGTAGCATCAGAATTGCTAGGTGGTATAGACATCAAGCCTAGTTGGGTGCTGAATCACAGTGACACACTTTAAGTTCCCCAATGTATGTTAACTATTACTGTTACTTTATTTAGATAATTAAATGTGTAGATGGAAGAGATCTTCCTTTGGTAGTATTCTCCATTAGGCTATAAACTTCTTAAAAGCAAAGGCCAAGACTTCAGTTCTTTTGTGTTTGCCACACTTGGTATTATAGTGCTTCCACAGCTCTGGCAATAGGTAACTGCTCTTGACTGACAGGGCCAGCGGAGGACACATCTGCTTTGAGGTCAGGATAGATCTGGGATATCTTCGGGCAAAACTGTGTTCACCAGAGGGATTCCATTCTTATTATCACATTTTTTGAGAAAAGACAAAGATACACCAAGTGCTTTCTGTTGTTTGTGTAAGAGAACTTGCTTTAATTTCTCTTGAAACACGTCCCAAGGTTCTCATGTTAGAAAACATCCTCTGCCTCAAAAGGAAATGACATGACTCACCTTGATTTTTCAATGGTAAAGGCATAGTTTCCCTGAGTTTGCTTAAAAGGTTTTTCATTTCTCGCATGTCTCTGTAAAAGTGATAGAAAGAAAAAATCGTCAGCTGTAAATTCTGGAAATGCAATCTCAGTCTGTTCTGTGATTCAACGGAAGGACAAGAGTCTGTGCTTAATTGTACTAGCTCTAGTTGCAACAAGCAAATATTGAATCTATTTTGCTTTTATAAGAAAAAAAAACAACCCAAGATGAGTGACTCTCGGAGGAAAGAGAACTAGCCTGGCCAAGATTTCTCTGGGACATTCTGCTGCAGAAGCCCTCATCTCTGCCATGGGTTGGACTGGCCAAGATCAGGAAAGAGTCTCTGGTCACGAGGATAGTACTTCAGATTTCCAGGGGGAGGCGGAGGACACACAACTAGAATAATGGGGTTACCCTGGGTAAAGCTGAGGCTGGGTGCTGGTCAGATGGCTGTTGTGGTTGTGTAGGTTCACTCCCTGTTGCCTCTCTTTACCGGGATTGGAATTTGGTGTAACACAGGTGTTAAGCATTCACAGGGCCAACTTATTAAACTGACTTGGAATGATGGGAGAGAGTATGACAAATTCTAACACTGTCAGAGAAGAGCTCTTCATAGTGGATGAAACAGAGAGAGAGAGGGAGAGAAAGAGAGAGATGTGACAGGGGTTGGTGGAGGGGGTGGTGGTGGTGTGGGACAGCTGGGCCTTCCTCTAGACACTGGCCTGTATGTCTGACACTGCATACCTCCAACATCCTTCCTCATCCCAGACTACCTATGACCATGAGACCACAGAGCTGGAGAGTCAGAAGCCATCTTCCTAGAAGGAGGAGGCAAGATGGACTTTTCAAATCTTTGGGATAGTGGTTCCTCATATGTTCAGCAATGTTTATCCACTGGAGTCAGCACTCTTGAAATCCCAAGACATAGTGGTGGATTTCATTTGAAAGAGCAAATATCAGATACATCTTTTTTGTTAGGCAAGCAATAGCTGGCACCCAGGATTTAAGAGAAAAAAAAGGTTTTTTTTTTTTGGGAGGGGGATAATCTTAAAATGAAGGATATACTATCTATTAATCAATTTTTTCCCTGCCATTTGAGGAAATGAGCCATATTTTAATTTTACATTTAAAATCCCTCAGTCCATGTCATGAAACACAATTGTTCTGTTGAGTATAGTTTGAGAACCACTTGTCCTAGGGCAGTGGTTCTCAACCTTCCTAATGCCGCGACCCTTTAATACAGTTCCTCGTGTTGTGGTGACCCCCAATTTCATTGTTACAAATTGAACATAATTAAAGCATAGTGATTAATCACAAAAACAATATGTAATTATACATGTGTTTTCCAATGGTCTTAGGCGACCCCTGTGAAAGGGTCGTTCGACCGCCAAAGGGGTCGAGACCCACAGGTTGAGAACCGCTGCCCTAGGGAGACCCCTATGGGCTCTCCTCCTCAAGTATTGACTGGTATGTGAAAAGGAACTCGGGAGGAGCTGTTGGGAAAGGAGCAGAAAGCAGCCTGTGGATCTGTAGAAATATACCCGTATAAACACGCAGAACACTTTCCACAGGTGTAAGGATTGTCTCTGCAGCACTGCATATTGCTAAGCCCCAAAGGGTATTTCTAGAAAGAGAAGTGGGGGAGAGGGAGAAGGAGGACAGGGCCCTGCACCCAGAAACACAAGGGCACCCCATGTTTTCCTGTGACATTCCCAAGGGTTGATGGGATGGTGGGTGGTGGGCAGGCACAAGGTGGGAAAGGGCTAGTAATGCAGTATGGGAGGCAAGGTCTCCTTGGAGAGCACCCTTTCTCAGCCTTGGACGCTTCATGGGAGAATCACCTTTTGCTGAGCCCTACTCCCTGACAGCCTGATTTGGTTGGTTTATGGTGGGGTCCAGTCATCAACGTTTTTAAAAAGTCCTCCTGGTGATTGTGCTGTGCAGCCCAGTGTGAGATCCTAGGGCTGAAAAACAGAGGAACTGTGGAAGCCACCCTCCCAGACAGGTCTATATTCCTGCTTCTCTCAGTCATTCCCATCTCCTTCAACCTGAATCCAGGCTTTAGGATGAACTGAAACACGGCCAGCTCCTTGGGCTATACGCCCCTATTGTTACAGCTCGCCATAGCTTGCTTCTGCAAGCATAAGGGCTTGGATGTGGCTTCTCTGCAAAGCTTCAAAAAAGGAAAAAGGCTTTGCTGATGGCTGATGCCCTGACCACAGCCCTCTGGCAGATATTTCTTCCTGGGCATAGAGCAAAACATTTTCCATTTTATAAATTAAGATAAATCACTCCCTCATCATTTGTCTATAGTTCTAGCAAACTGTGCCAAACAGCTTTATTGTTTGAATTGTTGGATTTACAAGCTTATACAAAATCCAAGTTTTATTAATAGTACATAATTACCACATGTTTCAATTTTCTATAAACACAGAAATTCGGCAATTAGCTTTGGAATTATATTATGATCTGAAAGTAGAACCACAATGGCTATAAATGCCCTCGTGTGTTACATTTCTAAAAATTAAAAAAAAAAGTTTATTATCTTGTCAATGACTCCCCCCCCCCCCACACACACACACCCCACACACACACTCTCACACCCCACAGAGAGCGCTGGGTGGAAATGCCCAGCATTCATTCAGCTGCTTTGTGCAGGCGCTGGGGACATCAGTAGCAAAGGACAAGATATTAGCTTGAAGGACAATAAACAAGCACCTTGTCCTTCTGCCTCACAGAATAGCATTTTTAGCATCTAGATGAGACATGGCACTTATCATTGCACCCTTCCCTCAAGTGAAACAGAATCACTGTAGAATCTCTTCTTCCTAAGAAAGAAACTCCCTGTCTAGCAGTGAGCAACTGCTCACTAAGACAGATGCATTAACTCGCTTTGACCACTAAGGGGCCATCAGCTACATTCTGGGAGAATAAGAGAAGGGAGCCCAGCAAAAGGCTGTTTGTGAACTAGACAGCATGCTCAGCCCCTGCGTGGCAGTTAAGCAGGCCATTCCAAGCATCTGAAATCCGAGAACCTCCCAGAGGCATCTTGGCACAATTTGGGGACCCAGCCCACTAGATAAGCTGTGACGGTACGTAGATCCAACTTTCTCCCTTGCCAAGGAAGCACACTGTTTTATTTCCATGGAGACGCGATTGTGGTAGAGTGGGGTGAGCAAGCCTGCCTCCACAGGAGGTTCTGCTGCGGTTCCATGGCAGTTTGGACCCCTTAACTTCTCAAACCAGTTTTCTGAGCGCTCTGTTTCTGACTCTGAAACACAAAATCTTGACTCTCTGCAGCCCAGAGGAGTGGAGGAGGATTGGCAGTCTATTTAGGGTAACTTCCCACTTACCTTTCAGTGTTCTCAATGTCTGTGGAAACCTGCCAGGCATGCTGCTGCGTATCTACGGGGGATGAAGCGGAGTCCTCTAGAGCAGGTGGCTCAGTGCTCTCTTCAATTTTGCAATCCAAACTCTTGGTTCCTCCGCCAGGCTCCTTTCCTAAGGGGCAGGGAGGTGGGGCGGGGGTAGGGGGTGTTGGTAAAGAGGAGACAGACAAGAAATCATAAGTGCAGCTGTATGCCCAAGATGTCATTACAAAGGTTGGCTATGCTTTGGACCAAATGCTCCATTAACACTAATTTCTGAATACTAAAATAATTGATGTGTAAAAATAAATGTGTGTGTGTGTGTGTGTGTGTGTGTGTGTGTAGCATGTTTGCACAACATTCTGGGAAAGATAGCTTGAGGTTGATGCAATTTGAAGATCAAAAGTAAAGGTCCTGTCTTTGATGGAGTGTTGGTGCTCTGTAACCCATTCTTGGGGAGTTAGATCAGGAGAAGGAGATAAGCAATTAAGTGGTGATGACCTATGTAGCATTCATCAGCCTAGAGTAGAAATGAGCCTCTGAATATGCAGCCAAAGCACAAACACAAATTCACTGATGAGAACTTTTGATCATTTTGTGTGGACTTTATGCACATTGATCCTGGGTAATGGAATTGCTTTTCCAATTTTATGGCATGCTGTTGGGTGGAAATTAATTAAGCACACAATTTAGCATATTACCACTTCACAGTGGGAGGGCACTGACCTCTTAAAAGCTTTTGCCGTGTGCTTCCTGGGAGAGCGCAGCAAATGCAGTCCATTTGCTCCCCACCTCTGGGTAGGTCAGCGTAGGATGCTAGTCTGTGAGATTGAAATGCCTTGGGGAATGGGGTATGGCTTGGGCAGCAAAGAAGATACACACAGATGGACTTCCTTGCTCTGTGGGCTCTGCCTGGCTTAGGGGCCACAGTGGCCCCTGTCCTGCCATCAGGACTATAGTGCCCAAAGGTTTTACTCCTTATTTCAAAATGAATTCACCTCCTTATTTCAAAATGAAATATATCAGGTATATTATTTTATATTAGTTTCAGGTATACTAATTAGTTTCAGGCATATTAGCTTTAGGGAACAGGTAGTATAATGTTCCTTCTTGGAGTCCTCTCTCTACCTTCCTCATAGGTACACCTTTTACAACACAAGCATCAGTAGAATCCAATTCATGACCACTTTGTTTGCACTTACTGCCTGCAATAATTCTACTTTTATAAGACAAATACCATTCTATAGCTTTTTCAAAGTAAAATAACTATTCATGTATTCCTGAAACGCCTATGAGATTGTAATGGCAAGCACTATCCTCCTTTTCCTCATTTTCCAGACCTAGCTCTATAATGTGGATGAACAAGAATAGCTCTTGAACGTTGGACTTGAAGTTTAGTACTTGTGTCAGCTCACAAACTCTCTGAAAAAATTTCAGAATGTTATCTTTAAATTTTTGAGTTATGAAAGGACTCCGAAATATGTCTAGGGATGGATTCTTATTATATTAACTAGAGGCCCTATGCACGAAATTCATGCAAGAGTAGGCCTTCCTTCCCCTGGCTGCCGGCACTGGCTTCCTTCTGGCACCCGGGACCCAGGCTTCCCTTGCAGCCTCGCCTTCATCGGGAAGATTGTCCGGAAGGATGTCCGGTCTAATTAGCATATTATGCTTTTATTATTATAGATTTTTTTGGCATTTGATTGGCATTTGCAATCAATTTCCTCCCTTTTTTTTGTTAATCCTCACCCAAGGATATTTTTCCATTTTTTTTTTTTTTTTAGAGTGGAAGAAACAGGGAGAGACATAGAGAAACATTGATGTGAGAGAGACACATTGATTGGTTGCCTCCCACAGGCACCCTGACCCGGGTCAGAATGAGCCTGCAGCCTAGGTACGTGCCCTTGACCGGAATCAATCTGCAGGCTGCCGCTCTATCCACTGAGCTAAACCGGCTAGGGCAATTTCCTTCTATTTCTTATTTTGAAAATTAGCATACCTACAGCAAACTTTCAAGAATGATACAATGGACACCCAGATATTCTAGTTTCAACAATTGTTAATAATTAGCCATATTTTCTTTTATATTTCATTCTCTCTGCTTCTGTCTCTCTCATCTATATGTGTATGTACTGTACATAGGTTTCATATATTATATTGATCATATATATTTTTTCTATATAAACAATTTAGAAGTAAGTTGCAGACATTAATGACACTTTATCCTTATTACTTCAGCATATATTTCATAAGGAACAAGGATGTTTTCCTATATAACCTCTAAATAATTATTGTATCCCAAAAAATCTTTGGTTAAATATGAGTCAATGCAATTTGGTACAGTGCCATTATTTAATAGTCTATATTAAAATTTCCATAATTGTTCCAATAATATCCTTTACAGTTTTTTTTAAAAATCAAGGGATCCAATTAAGGATTATGGACTGCATTTAGTTGTTCTGTTTCTTTATTTGCCTTTTATTTAGAACAGCACCCTTATCTTTTTTTGGTCTTTCATGTTATTGATATTTTTGAAGGAAGAGTCCAGGCCCGGTTGTTTTATAGAATGTCTTTCATATTGGATTTGTCTGATTATTTCATATGTCTAGATTACGAGTAAATCTTTTGGCAAGAATATTATAGAAGTGATATTTTGACCTTCTTACATTGTGTCAGAAAGCACATGAATCAGTTTGTTCCATTATTAATGATGTTAGTTAAGTGTTATTGATTGCTTGGTTAAGGTGGTTTCTGCAAGCTTTTACCATTGTAGATGTAGCATTTTCTCTTTGTAATGAAATATCTATGGAGAAATTTGTTGATATGTTATGGCCTTTTCTATTTAAATCTTTGTTTAGGCTTTAGAAATTTTTCTCTATTTTTGTTGATTCTTCTTTCTATTCTCTCTGTTCTTTCAGAATTCCATCTATTTTTCTTAACTACCCCGCATACTCCATAATTATTTTTGAGGTAAATTCTGGGATAATACCATGACTTGATTTTTCATTTCATTATTTTAGGCTCTCAGTATGTCCATTAAAATAATTAAGAACTGTGAAGGGTTTGAGATTTTCCTCTATCTGTGAGTTAGCCTGCTACAGTTTAATAGATACTGGAAGAAGACATGAGACTCCTGGGTCGGAGACAGCTTATTACTCACACAATGGCAGTAGCCAGAGTATCAGCATTGGTTTCTTGAGTCCTAATTCCCACAGGGAGATACAAAAAAGGCCAGATCTTATCCATACATCCAGGAGCCTGTGTGACAGAACAGGAATGCTGAGCTTAGGGATTTTGAGTCTTTTTATAAGCATGTCTGCCTTTTGCTCCAGAGGGAAACATTTTCATTATACTGAATAGTAAGCATGCTTTGCTCCGGAGGGAGACACTGTCTCTATTTCCCAAGGTATTTACTAAATAAACATCCTTGAAAAGATAGTGTAAAACAAGGGACAGTCAGTGCCTCACTTTGCAAGATGTACAGAAATGCAAGAGACTAAAGGAGAATTTCCTTCCAACAGTAATTAATCCAGCTATTGCATTTTTATTGGTTGATACCATTTTTGTTTCCAATGAATGTGGCTGCTTCCTTCTGTTTGCAGACAATGATTGTTTTATGGGTATGACAGACTAATAAAACCTTCTGAGAATACTGATTACATATATTTTGAATTCTTCATCTGTTTCCACTTTAAAATTTGTTCTTCAAGTATCAGTTGTTTGTTTTTTGAATTTGGCATTTTCCTGTCAGGGTATTGGTTTTTCTTAAAAATCTAGTCATTCCTGATGTCTATTTGATACCATTGTAAATAACCTGGTTATTCATAAGATAAAAGGAGCAAAGGAAAGGCCAAATAGTATAATCATTTATGCAGTTTTGCCAGGAAACGGCAGTTGAATACTCCCCATGAAGCCACCAGTCTGTCCCCCACTGGGGAAACGGACTAGACAGAGGAAGAATAGGCGCATGCCCAGTAAAGTCTAGGTGACATAGGGAAGGTACTTGTCTATGGCTCACACCTGGGAGCAGGTCATTGGCCAGAATAGCATGGCCACAGCAAGCATGGGAAGATTTGAGATACTTTAACTCCTAAGCAAAGGAGTTTGCTCTCTCTTCCTCTTGCCTCTTGCCTCACACTCCTGCATTCACCCACAATTCCCACAGCCATGTGGGCCCCATACAATAGACTGATGGACTGTAGCTAGCCTATTGCCAAACTGGACCCAGCTCTACTCTGCACATGGGCTTTGCTTTTAGCTCTGCTGAAGCCCCAGCTGCACATCTTCCAGGACTGGATTAAGGGAAATGGGACTTTAGAAACTGAGGGATGCAATTCCACACAAATAAATATCACTCATCCTCCAGTGCGAGTCTCAGAAAATTCTTTTTCTTGAGATATTGTAAGGACCCCACTTCCACTAGCAAAGGAGAAAGACCACCCACACATTTCTTTGATAACATATTCAGATTAGCCTTTGAGGACATCTGTTTGCCTATCATTCTGATTACAATATCCTCTTTCTGGTTATTGTAGGGGAGGGGCAGGATGTGTGGCTGGATAAGGTGTGTTTAAAGCTTATAAAGGGTGCTTTTTTATTTTTGAAAAGAGGTTTTAATTTTATTTTTCAATTATGGTTTATATTTAGTATTATTTTGCATTAGTCTCAGGTGTACAGCATAGTGGTTAGATCATCATATACTTTACAGAGTGTTCCCCAGTATTTCCAGTACCCACCTGGCACCATACATAGTTATTACAATACTAGAGGCCCAGTGCATGAAATCGTGCATGGGTGGGTTCCCTCGGCTGGGCCAGAGATTGGGGCCTAACGGGGGGAGGGCGGCTGGCATGGGGGAGGGACTGCGGGAGGTTGGCCAGCTTGCCCCCCCCCATCGGGGCCATCAGGGGGGATGGCCAGCAGTGGGGAGGGACCACAGGAGGTAGGCTTGCTGGGGAGAGGAGCTGTGGGAGGTTGGTGGCCACCACCCCCCCAATTGGGGCCGATCAGGGGGAAGGGCTGGCTGGGGGGAGGGGCCACAGAGGTTGGCTGTGGGAGCACACTGACCACCAGGGGGCGGCTCCTGCATTCAGCATCTGCCCCTGGTGGTCAGTGCGTGTCATAGCAACTGGT